TGAAACAGTGGTCCTTATATTTTGGATTGTGGTTTCTTGTTTTTCAACAGCCTCAATGTCTCATTTGTTTTATCTGCATTGCTTTAAATTGTATTTTTAAGCTCCTCCTGGTTTTTACTTGCAGTGCCCCATAATTCTTCAAGTTTTTCTTTCATCCATTGCAAATATTCAGTCATTGTTCTTTTAAATTCTGTGTCAGAAAGTTTCATCAGACTTTCTAGCTTCAGGCAATCCATTGGTACTATGTCACTTTTTGTGGTGACTTCTTGCTTTGGGCTTGTGTAGGGTGTGAAATAGCCTGCTTCTTGAGTGACATTATTGTGTTAGAGTTCCTAATGCCTGAGGCAATAGCAGGTTGTTTATCTAACTTCACTGCTCCAGAAGAAGGTGGGAAAACTACTTTGCCCAGGTTTCTCTCTGAACTTCTGACTCAAGGAAAGCTTTGCTTCAGTTCTGGAGAGAAAAGGCCTGTGAGTTGTCACCCTATTATGTTAGACAACTGCTGCAGCTAGTCCAGTCAATGGTGCTCTGGGATAAAGGCAGTTAATTGACTGGACTTGAGGGAGCACAAGGCAGAATACACCCAGGTCAGGATGTGAGGAGATCAAAATTGAAAATCAGGAAACCTTGGTTTTTCCTTTCAAGAACCAGGTCTGCCACCTCACTAACGCTCCAGCTGTCTCACTCTCTTTTGCTTGAGTTTAACGGGTCCCATATGGTACAACCAAAAAGCTGTGATCACCACAAAGTACCTCACTCAAATTCCAGATATCCTGCTCACTCCTAGCACATCAGCTTCCAACGCAAGCATCAGCTCCCAGCACAGAAGTCAGCTCACAGGTGACCTTAATTTTTTTATGAAATTATAGCTTCTAGTAGACTGATTAATGTCTCCCTGGGGCCATATATGCTATGTTATACTGGAGATGACCGTTTTCCAAAGCAGAGAACACTGTGGAACTAACCAGAAGGGACCCAGAAGATCTAATCAGACTTTAGACCTACATCTGGCCTCCCAATGGTCTCTATGAGTCTTCTTGTATCAGTTTGCCCTCCAGCTCCTGTAGCTGTCTATCCACCCTTCCAAACATGATGTCCTTCTCCAAGGACTGCTCTCTCCTGGCCATGTGCACAAAGTAAGTGAGGAAGAGCTTCAGAATCCTAGCTTCGAAGGAAAGACTTCATTTCACCCTCTCCAAGACACACCAATTTGTTTTCTTACCAGTCCATGGTATGTTCAAGACTCTCCTCCAACACCACAAATTGAAGGCATCTATTCTTCTGTCATCTTTAGTCACTGCCCAACCATCTGAAGCATAACAAGTAATTGAGAAGGCCATGGCCTGGATTAGGCACACCTTTTTTTTAAATACACTGACATTGTTGCTCTTCAGAACTTTGGAGAGGTCTATGACAGCAGATTTTCCCAGTGTAATTTGTCTTTTGATTTCCTAACTGCTGGCGTTAAGAGTGTTGATTGTGGATCTGAGCAAGCTGTAATTTCTAAAACCACAATCTATTCTGTATCTAATATGATGTTGCAATTGGCCCAGTGGTAAGAATCATTGTCTTCTTGATGTTGAGCTTCAATCCATATTAAAGACTACAGTAGTTGACCTTTTGCAGCAGGTGCTTTAGATCTTCTTCAGTTTCAACAAGCAAGGTTGTGTCATCTGCATATTATAAGTTGTTAATGAGTCTTCCTCCAATATTGAAGCCACACTATTCCTTATAAAGCCCTTTTTCCTAAAGGATCCGTTCTGCCTATAGATTGAAAAGGTATGGGGACAGGATGCACCCCTGACACACTCCTTTCCTGATTTTGACCCATGCAGTGTTTCCTTGCTCTGTTCTAAGGACTGCTTCTCGGTTCAAGTATAGGTTTCATATAAGCATAATCTCTGAGATACCCATTTTCCTCAATCTTAGCCACAACTTATTGTGATTCAAACAGTCAAATTCCTCTGAATAGTCAAAGAAACAGTGATAGACATTCTTCTGGAACTCTCAGCTGTCTGCCAAGATTCATCTGATGTTGGCAATAATGTCCCTAGTACCATAACCTCTTCTAAACAGAGCCTGAATTTCTGGTAGTTCTCTGTCAATTTATTGTTCAAGTCTTTTCAAGATAATCTTCAGCAGGATCTTTGTAATGTGTGATATGCTCTATAATTTCCACAGCTGTCAGGTCACTCTTTTTTGGAATGGGAATAAATAGGGATCTCTTCCAGTCAGTTGGCCCAGTAAATGACTTCCAGATTTCTTGGCACAACTTGGTGAGCACATGCAGGGCCACCTCTGGTTGCTGAAATAAATCAATTGGTATTCCTTCAATTCCTGGGGCTTTATTTCTTGTCATGTCCTTCAGAGCAGCCTGAACTTCTTCCTTCAGATGTGAGTACTGCAGTTTTCTCCGAGAAGCTCATAGAGGATGCAAACTCTGAACTTCTCTATTATCAGTGAAATTCCTTACCACTAAATCACCACAGTTTCCATTTTTATGAGCAGTGAGCTCATAAATAGATCCTCTTATCTGACTATGACAGTGTCCAAAAGGAGGATTTAAAAATATACTTCATTTTACATCTCTTGAAAGAAGAAAATCAAAAGGAGTTATTTCAATATTGGTTCATAAAACTTATAAACATCTGAGTATAATAAAACAAGAAAATAAATCCCTCTGCCATTAAGCTGATTATGACTAATAGTGACCACCCATCAGATTTCTGAGGGCACACAATTTATAGCAGACTGCCTATCTTTCTTCAGCAGAACATCTGACAAATTCAATCTACTAATCTTGCAGTTAAAGGAGCTCAGGTGGCCTAGTGAAAAGAAGCTGTGCTGCAATCCCTAAGGCACATGGTTCAAGGCCACCAGCAGCTTCATGGGAGAAGAATGGACAATCTGCTCTTGTGCGATAAACTGCCTCTGAAAACCCACTAGAGGATGAGCTATGGGTCGGTTTTGACTCCATGGTACATAACAACAACAATAATCTCTCAGCTAGTAACCAATGAGGTGATATCAGGGCTAAAACATAAACAAAAAATATCAAATTCATCTAGAGAATAATTATATTTATTTAAGACAAAACTAAACTAGCATCAATGATATATAGACAATATTTTCAAAATAGTAGACATAAGTCATATACTTATATATAGATATATTTATTTTATATGTGAGTTCATTGTATGTGTTTATTTTGTGTGTGTGTGTGTGTGTACATGCTACTTTGTGTGAGAAAGCAGTTTGGTAATCACTAACTTCTTGACTGTCTCCTTCACGTCTTTGTTCCTAAGACTGTAGATTAGAGGGTTCAGCATGGGAATCATAACTGTAAAAAACACAGTGGTCACCTTGATGAGGAGCCACGAGTTCTTGGAGTTGGGCACACAGTAGAGCAGAAGGATGGCTCCATGGAAGATGGTGATGGCGGTCAGGTGGGAGGCACAGGTGGAGAAGGCTTTGCGGAGTCCACCAGAGGACGGCATCTTGACGATAGTGACAACAATGAAAAGGTAGGAAGTGAGGATGATCAGGAGACTACTGGTCTCATTGAAGGTGGAAATAATTAAACATGCCATCTGGCTGAAGCGGGTATCCGAGCAGGAGAGAGATAAGACAGCCGAATACTCACAGCCAAAGTGATTGATGATATTTGAGCCACAGTAGGAGAGTTCCGCCAGAGAGTAAGTCAGTGTCAGGGAACAGAGTCCACCCCACGTGTAAGTCGCAGCCACCAGGAGGGCACAGAGCTTGCGAGACATAACAACCGTGTAGAGCAAAGGGTTACAAACAGCCACAAAGCGATCATAGGCCATCACTGCTAACATGAACATTTCTGTGATCACAAATGTGCAGCCAAAAAAAAATTGGGCCATGCATCCTTTGAAAGAAATAATTCTGATTTCAACAACCAAGATTTCTAGGAGTTTAGGTGTAAAAACGGTACAATAACAAACATCCAAAAAGGATAGGTGGCTAAGAAAAAAGTACATTGGTGTGTGGAGTTTGGGGTTTATCCTTCTAACTAAAATGATGCCCAGATTCCCTACCACAGTGACTGTGTAAATGCTCAAGAATGCCAAGAAGAGGGGTCCTTGTAGGTTTGGGTATTCAGAGAAGCCCAGAAGAATGAATGTAGTCACAGAGCTCTTGTTTCCCCTATCCAATACCATAGCTTTTGTCGGAACAGACAAACACAACGCAGAAAATGGTATTTGAACAACAAATTTGAGAAGTCAGGCATAACATGAACTTTAGAAATAATAAATTAAAACCATTGAGAAAAATGTTGATCTTTCCTTGATGATTTTTTGTTTTAACTTGACCACCTACTGACTTTGTTATGCATATCTGTCTTTTAATATTTGACTATCTTCATCTGTAAAATAATAAAAATAGTGCTCATTAATATAAATATATTAAGATGTATAAATGAAATTTAGAACATTTTATATCTAATAATAATAATACATAAGGTATTTAAGAAAATAGGTGAAAGTAAAGGAAAATCAGATTTCAGGGTATAGTAGTCATTTGATTAATGCAATGACAGCTGTGAAAAGATAAAACCATTTTGATAAAAAAAATAAAATCATGTAACTATAAAGTGATTTTTTTCATTGAAAATATATTTCACAATATTCACAATTCAATGCTGATGTACTCTACTTTTTAACTTAGTATTTATTCTTCAAGAATCACAGAATATTTACTTCAAATACTTTTTCCTTAAATTATCTGATAAAGAAATTTCATCATTAACTGTGCCTATTCCATTTATCCTCACCAAACAGCTCAATAATTAAATGCTCAATAATTTAAAGATAGCTATCTCCTGAGAAAAGGATTTGGAGCTATTCTTAAAAGTCAGTTTATAGTTCATATTATATTAACAATAAACAAAACACTTTCATGAAATTGATTGCCAAAAATAAAGTGCTCCCAAAATGCACAATCCAAACTAAGAACAACATCAAAAGGAACAAAATAAGAAATCTATACTATCAATTCTCAATAATAATAAATATTTCCCAATATGGCAAAAGAATATTAGAGGTTTAGAAATTTTACAGTTATGGGTTTTGAAGAAAAGATGTTAGTGTCTTAAGTGCTGCACTGCTAACTGAAAAGTTAGGTATTTGAGTCTACTGTATACTCAGAGAGACAATGTCAATCAGTAAAAATGTGCTGGTTGTATGTGAATGAAACACTATCAATCATTATTATGTGAAAATCTAACAAAAGGGAGATCGAGGGAGGGTCAGGAGAAGAGGAAGGAGAGATGATTATTGGGATGGTGGAGGTTGATAGAGGAATAGAGGAGACAGAGTAAAGGGAGTTACTGTCTTGATGGGACAGTATCATAAAAGAAATGGATTGGTGATATTTAATTGTATGCAATACGGTGTTTACGAGGGATTGTGTGGAGCATAATTACATGGATAAAGTGCAGCATGTGTGGGTGGTTATGTGCAAATCAATTAAATAAAAATGGAAGAGGATGAAAATTTATCATATAAGTGAGCACTGGATAGTGTAGATTTAGAAAGTGTGTAATTTTGTCTTTGGCCAGTAATTGATTGGAAGTATTAAAAGGGAATATCTTCCCTGGAGATAAACTTATTAAGAGTAGAACCTGGTAGTAGGTGGTAGAGCTTGATGGAGGGGAAAGATTGAATCTCACTTAGTATTCTGAGGAGATTTGCATTTGAATGGTTTCTGGAATCACATGTAATTTTTTATTGAAGTGCTTCACCAGAAAAGGTGAGAGGGGGTGAAGCTGGACCAAGAGCCAAGCCAGACTAGAGTGAAGCCTAATTAGGGAGTGGCCCGCTGGGGATAAGCCTGCTTGGGAGGGGCCCAGACAGCTGGACTCTGAGTAAGGTTCCCACGTGTGCCCAATCAGTGAGTCTGCACATCACCCTGTACTTGTACCTGCCCTGCTACTATGGTCGTGGCCTGTACCTATGCCAACCCTGTGCATCCATGCCCATGCCCTGCATCCATTCTCATGATTCTTACTCATGCCTGACCTGTGCTTGTGCCTACCCTGCACTCATGCCTACCCTGCACCCATGCTGCCATACTTTGCCTTGCATCTCCTCACATCCAGTCAATTAATTGCCTGTAGTCCAAAAAAAACCTCTGACCTTGCTGCAACAGTTATAAATAAAAGAAATTACTTTCATAGGTCCTGAACTGAAACTTCCCTTAAGTCAGAAGTTCACAAAGAAACACAGCCCACATAACTACTCTACCCTCTTGGAGCAGTGATGTAAGATTAAGAACCTATTTTTGCCTCAGACATGAAAAACCCTATCACAGCAATGTCACATAAGAAGCAAGCTACATCATACCCTACACAGGCACAAAGCAAGCTACATCATACCCTACACAGGCACAAGTGTCAACCCCAAAGAGTGACACAGTATCAATGGATTTCCCAAAGCCAAACAGTCTGATGGAACTTTCAGAATTTAAAAAAACTATGATTGGATATTTTCAATGTGAAAAAAAAATCAACTTGAAATATTATAGGACACAGTAAGCAAAAACCAGGAGGAGCTTAAAAAAAATAATCCATAACAATGCAAATAAAACAAATGAGGCATTAGAGACTCTGGAAAAACAAGAAATCATGATCTAAATCTAACCAGAAGCACAAAGGATCTCTTCAAAGAAAACTACAAAACATTACTACAAGAAACAAAAAGAGATCTGGAGAAATAGAAGAATATGCCTTTCTCATAGATAGAAAGACTCAATATTGTGAAAATGACAATACTACCAAAGGAAATTTACATGCCCAATGCAATCCTAATACAAATTCCAATTCTATTCTTCAATAAGATGGAAAAGGCAATCTCCAATTTCATTTGGGATGGAAAAAGGCCCTGAATAAGCAAAACACTCCTCAAAATTAGAAACAAAGTAGGAGGCATCTCATTTCCTAATTTCAAATCCTACTAGACTGCTGTAGTAGTCAAGACAGCATGGTACTGGTACAATGACAGACACATAGATCAATGGAATAGAATTGAAAACCCAGAAATCAGTCCATCTACCTATGGTCAACTGATTTTTGACAAGGATATAAAATCAGTTAAGTGGGGAAACAACAGCCTTTTAAACAAATGTTGGCAAAATTGGAAACCTATCTGCAGAAAACTCAAGCAAGATCCACACCTCACTCCATACACAGAAACCAACTCAAAGTGGATCAAGGACCTAGGACCAAAACCAAGGACAAAAACTTCATTAGAGAAAAGCTTGGAAGAACTCTAAAAGTCCTAATCCACAACATGAACAGTCTTCCAAGCATCCTGAAAAACCTACAACCAGGAAAGGGTAAAATAGATGAATGAGACCTTCTGAGAATCAAATCCCTATGCACTTCCAAAAACTCCTCCAACAGGGTGAAAAGGGAAGCCACAGACTAGGAAAAAAATTTGCAATGACATGTCTGATAAGGGACTTATATCTAGAATTTATAGAATACTCAAGCAACACAACAAGATAAAGGTAAACAACCCAATTGAAAAATGAACACAGGGTATGAACAGACACTTTACCAAAGAAGTCATTCAGATGGTGAACAAACATATGAAGAAGCGTTCAAAATCCCTAGCTCTAAGAGAGATGCAAATCAAAGCAACTATGAGGTATCATCTCACCCCACTAAGAATAGCAAAATTCAACAGAGCAGCAAATAAGAAATGCTGGTGAGGGTATGGAGAAACTGGGTTCTTATTCACTGTTGGTGGGAGTATAAAATGGTACAACTACTATGGAAGGCTGTATGGCGCTTTCTCAAAAGGTTGAAAATAGAAATACCATTTGACCCACCAATTCCACTACTGGGAATATACCCTAAAGAAACCAGAACTGCTGCCTAAGCAGATATATGCACACCCATGTTTATTGCTTCTTTGTTCACAATAGCAAATAGTTGGAAACAACTCATGTGTCCATCAACAAATGAATGGATAGAAAAGCTCTGGTATAGTCACACAATAGAATACCATGCTGCATTGAAAAACAAGGAACTCGTAGAATATTATACAAAATGAATGATCCTGAAGGACATTATGCTGAGTGAAATACCTCAGTCACAAAAGGATAAATACTGCAAAACTACCGTAAAAAGGGACTAACATTGGGGTTGGGGGAAACCTAAGAAAAGAGGGAATAAATACTGTATACTGGATTGAGACAGATGAGGGAGAGAATTTCTTAAATATAATATATGATTAGGTATTATTTTCATGATAAGATTCCAGAAAAAGAAATGCATAATAAAGTGGACTGTGCACTTTTGGGTGGGAGGAGATTGTATAATAATGAAAGATTTATTTTTTTTCTTTTTAAAGAGAAAAGCAAACTGGAGGAACAAGTGAGTAGGGAGGAAAATGTGCAACAATAAACGAATGTGAAAAAAATTAAATGGAAAGAATGTGCTATAAAAATATATATAAAATACATACATGCATGTATGTATGTATGTGTGTGTGTGTGTGTGTGTGTGTGTATAAAAAATGTGTGTGTGTGTATAAAAAAAATGAAGGGTAAGAACCTTCATGAACCTACCTAGGCTAAAAAACTCTCTTCCCAAAACAACAACAACAAAAGAACGAGAAGGAAAGAAACAAGGAAAATAGAAAAAAGAAAAGAAAGGAAGGAAGAGACTATCTTTTTTAAAACTAGAAAAGCTGTTTATCTTCTGTGTCAAGTTGAAGTTCATCAGTTTCAAGTTTAGAAGTCCAATGGAGAACTACCATGAATCAAAATAAGACAATTGAAGGGGCTTTTTGTTGTTTTGAGTATTTGTTTTCATTACTCCTGTTTAAAGTTAACACAAATATTTAATCAAGAAATGGAGATGCAGACAGTTGCATTAAAAAAATAGATACTGTTATATATAGATTGAGGTAAATAAAGAAGTAAAAATAAGAACTGGATTAACTAACGAACTGTTCTTCCAAGAGCTAACTAAGGTATTCATCACAATGAGATGATAAGGAATAAGTATCAAAGAAGAAAAAGTGAAATTCTGGTAGAAAAAAAAGACACTGGAAGGTTAGAAAATATTACTAAGTTGTTTTAGAAGTGGAGCTGACACTTTGAATCTGGGAGCTGGCACACGTTTTAGCACTGGCGGTAACATAACTATCTG